AATTTACCACTTTTATTTCTTCACTAATTTTATTTTGATGGATCATGTGGAGAGCTTGGTTTATTCATGCAGGTCATAGATGCAGAAGGCACAAGTTGGTGCTTTCATGTGATTTTGCCAATACTATTTTTTATCAAGTATGTGTGAGTGCTGTAAAGCTGCGGCATGAAAAGCCGTCAAGCTGAGAAGATAAGAGAGGCCCACTCACTCGGAAAACATGAGGTGCGAGTTTAATCCCGCCTGAGGTCATACTTCTGCCCATAACTCGGCATTCTTGTGATAGGCCCATGATAGGTCTCTGAACACTCAGGTAGGGTCACCAACTGAGAGACGATCCGCTAGAACTGTGAATTCAATTAGTTGTTCATCATACAGACGATTCCATTACTAGTACACATTGCACAGTATTTGTAACGCGGCAATGAGAACAAAGTGGTCCGACAATGAAACATGAGGAACACAACGTGACACATAATACCCCTGTCGGGCTACCTTTCCACGTGCTACAAATGACATTTGTTGACTTGCTGATTGGATACATCATTTAGCTCTTAACATATTTATTGCAGACAAAAATCGAAATTCTCAGAAAAAAAAATGAAACCTCTGGTGTGTCCGAATATTCCGTGCTCAGCGCCTTCATCAGCGACCTGGGACCAGGGCACGCCGTCGTTGCGATGATAATAAGGTGGGGAGGGGGTCGTATTTGGTGTTGTTGGGAGAGGGGCTGCCAAAGATCTATACCAACGCGATGGCGTGCCCTGCCTAGGACTGCCTCCTACTGTAGCAACCCTCACGGATGGCTCGCCCTGTGGTATGAAATAATTCTCACGAGAACTGAGTAAAAAAATGCGCAAATGGAAAACCAGAAAAAACACTCGCATACTTCGGATCGAGGACGCCACGTGCTACTTACACCCCAGGAAAACTGGTGTAATTACAAGTATTGATGCATATAATTGCAGTGCATGCATAACGTATCAGCCACAGGCGCTAGTCTAGTCTGGGTCATGCGGGCGCCGTGAAAGGAATCCGCTACAGAATGATCATATATGACTAGGAAGAGGGATCGCACATACGAGGTAAGGAGTGAGTAGAGCAGTGACAAGGATTCTGAGCAGGGCTAAGCGGTGCAAGACACGGCTCTCTCTTTTTGTCCCTTCCTGTGGGTAGCGCTATTTCCAATGAGTTCATCGAAAAGCTTGTTTGTGTAAGGCAGTGTTCAGACTTCGCGACAGCAGCGCTTCGGTCGCGCGTTCACGCGATCGATGCAGTCGGAAGCATGCGCATCGATGGTCGGATCGCGCGAAGAAGCGCTGCTGTCGCAAAGTCTGAACACTGCCTTATTTGAACTATATTATAACTCACAATAAGACTTGTGCTTCGGAGCCACATGGTATCTGAAAAGTTTAGCAACAGTGTGAA